TTTTTGTAGAAAACATTTTTTTACGCCAATCAACCGTATTAGTTTTCAATTTTTTTCATATAAAGACGGAAAATTGGAAAAATAAAACCCATAATCTGCGAGGCCATGGAATTCTCTAAAACAAAAAGATATCCAGTTATCAATTAGCAGCAGATCGAAATGGATTTTATGATCGACTTGGTTACTGTCTTGCAGTTAATGGTGACTTATTCGAACATTTATTGTAAATTGTTATATTAGGAAACCGTTTTTAGTAATTTGGTCTTTCTTTATGTTGAATTCGCTGTTCTAGATATAATACTTTTTGATAGAATTTGATTTGTTTTATAGCAGACATTCCATGGCATGACGGATGTTCGCGTAGTTTTTGTACTATAAAATTCCATGGCATCACAGATTATTGAAAAAGATGGGGGTTTTATTTTTCCAATTTTCCGTCTTTATTATGCAAAAATTGAAAAGTAACTAAAATTGATGTAAAAATTTGTTTTCTACAAAAAACCTTAATACATTTTTGCTCTAAAATAATTTGGGGAGGCAATAATCGCATGTTATGAATTTTACATTGAAACCCCTATGATGCGTTACGCAAGTCACCACCCTGTATATAGTATACAAGAATTATCGCCAAACCCCCCAAAAAAAACTATCAACGGTAGTCGGATAAAATGTGAACACAGTATTCCTAGACATAGCTATTTGCCCTATGTTTTCTTTACTAGAAGTAGCATCTGTGGTTAAAATTTAAAAAAAAATCCATAAATATGTACCAAAGTTGGCATTGCGCAATCTCCGCATGCGCACGTCTGTTTTTTTACTAACGGGCGATCAAAAATGAGTTGCTGTCGAGTCGCCTTTGGAAGTTTAAGGTACGATTCCCCATGTAAACAAACATTTCAAAGGCGACTCGACCGCCACTCATTTTTGATAGCTCGTTATTTGCCTTTATCAGAAGCATCTGTGGTTAAAAATTCAACGAAATATTATAATAAATAAGAAAGTTGATATTGCGCAGTCTGCGCATGTTCGCATTAATCGTCAAGATTTTTGTTGACTGAGGTGCCAGAGCTATAAGCTATACCGAATTCAAAAAGAACGAACTAAATGGTTACGACCTCGGACAGACGGGCAGACAGACAGACCGTGCAGTAGCGCACCCAACTTGGTTAGAAAATGCGCTAAAAAGTATGTAAGTAGGTACCAAAATGTAGTCATGTTTATTTATATACCTATGTGGATTGTGAAAGAACATACGTTCGAGTATATGTTTTGGGCGCTTATTAACAAGCGACAAAAAGCAAGTTTATGATTTTGGACTTTCTGTCCGTCCGTCGGTCCGTTTGTGGACACGATAACTCGCCAACGGTTTCGAATTTTTCAATTCTGTTTTTAGCAATAGGTTGACGGTCAAGGGACTAATTGAATTTTGGTCAATATTCGGCAACCTTGTCGCTCGTGCAGTTTATTAACAGGCTCCTAGCGAGTTCATATTTTGGACTTTCTGTCCGTCCGTCTGTGGACAAGATAACTCCCGAACAGTTTCGAATTCCTCAACAAAGTTGTCGGATTTCGAAATTCAGGAACCAACACTGTATGATAAAGTACAGGGTACCCCATTTTCGACACTTTTAGTTTTATAACGTATCTCCGTAATTCTTAGTGCTATCAAAAAGTAATACAGGCGTCATGCGCTCTTTTTGGGTCAAACCAAAAATAATAGAATCAAAATTTGAAAATATTCGCTCGCTTAATAGATACGCGGGAAATTAAAATAAAGCAAAAGTTCAAACGATTAAAAAAATTCGAAGAAATTTCAAAAAGATTCTTGAATTTTTGTAATCTTCCTTTAATCAATATTCAATTTTTTAGTGTTATATTTTTGAAAAACGAAATATGCTATGGTAGAATTCATTTTTTAAATGTAATTCTGCACATTAGCGGAAAGTCTGCACTATGCTTATACCTACGTCCTTCATAAAATCACCGGCATCTATCTTAGGTCTATCACTTTTTGGCTTTGGTCCTGAAACTGACCTAGTAGTACTTGCTCGTTCTTCATTGGAAAAAAAAACCAGTCCACGTATCTTAAATCCGACCACGTCTATTACCGCGGTGTCAACGAGTTGGAGCGACAGGAGAAATCAAGGTTGCCATACCATTGTACTGTACGGTGTCTAAGCAACAGATAGAGGCTTATCTATCCGTTAATGGTCTGTGATCTCGACCTTACAAAAACAGCTGGCATCGCAAATTACGAAAAATACGAATACTAATTTTTTATTGCACAGAAAATACAAACAAGTTAAAAAGGTTTTCGCCTTAGAGCGAGTAACTTCAGCGCATTTTCCATGCAGTGATCAGTACTTCCCAAAAGATCATATAGCTACCTATGTGCGCTATGTTTTTCTTTAGTAGAGGCATCTATGGTTAAATTTCAAAAAATATCTCCATAAATAAGAAAGTTGGCGTTGTGTAATTCGCGCATGCGCATATTTAATTTATATGCGATATGTTTGTTTTTACTATGGTTTACTATGCTTCTATGGTTAACATTTTAAAAAACATGGACAGAATGACAGAGAGAGAAAGTGGTTGCAACCAACTTCTTTGGAAAAATGGGCTAAAAAAGAGTCACAGCAAGCACCAATTCTATTATGCCATTAACGTCGTGTTTCTTTTATTTGGAAATTACTGACAAATGGGCAACGGACGACTAAGAATTCAATTCAAGATTTTTGAAAAGAATGAAAAGGAAAAGGAAAATTTTGCGTCACCGTATTTTGTCTTGTATTCTATGGGAAAATTATCTTTTTTGTCGAGACTATAAATGTTTTAAAAAACCTCGATTTTTTTACTAACTGGAAACATAACAGATGACACAGATGACAATTGCCTGAATACTCTTGCGGCAAAGTTTTTGCAGCCCGAAAACGAGTAGGTATAGTAGTCTATCCCAATTCTAAAAAAAATTGCTGTAGATAGCAGATACCACCCGCACACCTGCGCATGAGCGATTCTGCCCATTTATGTCTTACAATATGTGTATCAAATTTGGTTCCAATCGGTTCAGCCGTTTAATCGGAAATGAAAGTACAGACGGACCGTCAGACCGAACGACCTACATCATCCGAGATTTTGTTTGATTCGGATTTATGCTTCAAAACGTCTATGTCCGTCAAAAAAGTGGAGGGTCATTTTTTACAACAATGCAATACCGCACGAGAGTTTCTCGTAATAAAATGCGAAACGTGTCATCAGTCATGTCCGCAAATGATAACCTAAATGGTAATAAAACTCACTATCGCAACCAAACGGCAAGCGTAAACAGCAAAATTTTACCACCTACTTATAAGTACGTGCATGGAAATTATAATTGCATTTATCAGAGAATTTTGGTACCAACAAATGTACTGTATCTGTATGCAAAATTGCAAAACAGTAAAAAAAGGACGTTTTCTAAACTTCGAAACCCTCACCGGTGCTGCGTGCAATGCAAAAAATTACTGAATTTTTAACCCAAATTTCCTTAATCATCCTATTATAGATGTCGTAGTCTTTTAGTGAAATCAGTCATTTCACGAAACGCCTAGTCCGAGGCCTAGTCATTTAGTGAAACGCTGAAAATTTGTACGTGTGGGGTATTTTCCCTTCCCCTTCTAGATCGATAAGGATACCATTTATCGATCTCTAATGGGAAGGGAAACCAATCGCTTGGTCTTGGAAAGTAAACTGTTCCACAGTTTCATATAAATGACTAGACTTTTCATGAAATGTCCAATTTCATTAAACGGCTGCGACATAGATACCATGGCAACATTCTAAGTGCGTTAATAATTTAATGGAAAGATTATTGAGCTTGTTGTAAACTGTTAAATGTGGAGGCCGATAATATTTGACCTTTTAATTACTTCTTATCTTAGTTAAGACAACGAATACGAATGAATCACATTCTCAGTTGAAATTTATCTGAAATTGTGTTTCATTACCGATTATTAATCACCTTTCGTTTAACACATTTTCTTTTGAATTCATGTAGCTTATAATTGAAATTATTAACCTTAATTACTTTTAATTACAATCAAGCAATGCGTGGGCTTTAAACTGCATCCTTATTCACTTAGTTACATTTTAGTATTTACAGCCCTGCTAGAACTAGCACGTATGCTCCACCGTTTCTGTCTGTAGAGTGAAGGTGCTCATTAACAAGATACGAAGAATCGCATACGATTTTCAGTAGGGGAATTTTTTGCCACTCGGCTCGTATTTGGAAACCAGACTTTTGATCCGGCTCATATTCAATAGCACTAATCCTTGATCTCGCTCGTAGAAATCTATTGGCGAAGGTTTGACATCGATGTCTCTTTTCGTTCTCGAGTTAAGCGTGGAACAGACAGACAAAACCATCACAATCACAAGGCACAATATGCAAACAGATTTATTTCAACATTTACTATTCATTTTCGAGTGCGTGCTAGTTCGATAAGTCGTAGTTACAGTTTTGTTCCAAAATTTCACAAAAATTTCAAAAGGCACACTTTGATTCCAAATATATTCGCACCATCTCATGGTGAACGATGCATACGCCGGAAGCCGTTTTGCCGGAGTACAGACGGACCGACAGACAGACCGACATAATCGAGATTTTGTTTGATTTTCAGATTCCTGGTGCCTCAAAACGTATTTTCGTAAAAAAAAGCGTGGGTGGGGGGGTTGCATCCCAATGCAATACCTCCCTTACTAACGTGTGGTTGGGAGTAAAATAAAAATCTTAAAATTACTGATCGTTTTTTTAAGAATCCAAATAATGTGGTCGTACTTTAATTCGAAATAAGATGTAGATAATGAGGTGTCACACGTCAAATGTTTTACATTCATTTCGCAACAAAACATCCACGGGTAACTAGATCTTGCTGAATCAACATGGCTATCATGGCGATGCATTCAAATGGATTTCTTTTTTTGTCCTCTACCTCATTCCATAAAAATCCAATATGGCGTCGATAAGAAATAAGAAAGTGGTAGCGTGTAACTGTTACATTTAGCGTGTTATAGAAATTCTGATAACAGATTCAGATTCTCCAAAAAAAAGTACCCATAGAAGGTGCCGATATCAACCTTCCATTTCCGCCCCCTAAAAGCTAGGGAAAACGAAAACAAAATTTAACGTCATGGAAACCTCACGAATTTGAACCACCCTGTACATTATATCTTAAACAGTGTTAAGATCTTTTCCCTGCCCATCGAGACAATATGTTTTGCCGTTTTACCAACGAAATTAATGCCGAAATTGTACTACCAAAGTAACCAGAAAGAAAGATTGGTGCACCCGTTGGTATCATCGATCGATATTCCCAGTGTTCCAAACCACGTGTATTTTATCTAGGCGGAATTCGAAGATGTTGGCAGATTTCCAAAGAAATATCATGGATCTGGTGAATGTGCGATTACATCCATCAAGATCTCACAGTAACCGTGGATTTCTACTTATATTCTTCGAGATCACTTATATTCTTCGAGATCCAAGAATGCCCATGAAAATCTGGGGACGACCAAGGGCTAGACCTCTGGATTTCGGAAGATTTCTTAATATACGAAAAAACTTTAAACTATTTAACATACTATGCGATCAAAATGAGTTTTTGTCGCGCCGCCTAATCTCGGCTATAATTGAACGGAAATTTTTCGGGTACAGTACCTACCTGTCTTTTCCACGCCGTTTCCCGCATTTTTTTCAAATCAAACACTTCCTCTTCTAAACTAGACCTTTAGTCTTGTATTTATAATCTCTCCGACGACCCAAGTGCACTTTAAACTATTAACAATGAATCTATTATATACTTATAAATCAACGTGGCAATTATCGTAACATTGATAAATAATTTCATGAAATTACAGTCAGGAAGTTAGAAATTATTTCATCCAAATGCTTTATTTAATGAATCGGCCATGCACGTCATTAATGTTTTGATAGTGCTCATTCGTTGAGATTCTTATTCGCGTTACCTATAGAAATGATTTGGAGAATATCAATAAATAAATATAGGGCTTGAATTTTCAAATTATGTACAAACTTCAAAACCAAAACACCAACAGCAAACAAACTCAAATCCCTCAAATCACCAAAAGTTCACTAGTTTTGGGTAGAAGATGAAAGCTAAATATTCTTGTACGACGTCTTGAAGAGATTGACGAGGTTTCAGCCGAAACTTCTACCACCCCAACCAACATATACACTGAAATAACATTACCATTTAATTTTTAAAAAATGGTATTACTGAACCAGGAACTCTTTTGGTCTTAGCCGAGCATCGGCCCGCCAGAAAGAGGTTGTTGAAACACGTCAATGCGAAAGAATTTTTTGAAACTTCGAAATTATATATCTCGTTTCAAGATCTAAAGCAGTTCAAAATGGTTAATTGGCCATAATCGACTATCGATGTGATCGACTTTCCAATCTAGAAGTCTTATTCCATGATTCTTTGTTCTGTATGAAATGACGTAGTTTGATGATTTCTCTTTAATGCATTTTTAAGTATAACTGGAGGATAATAATTCAAAACCTATTTAAAATCAATTAAAAAATAACTGAAATAGAATCACATTTGTTTGATATTTTTCTAATAAAATTTCCCTTTTTTTCCTCTACTCCTCCTCGCTCAGTATTTTCTTCTTTATATTCCCATATTAGTCAATATTTTCCTCTTCTCTCCACATAGTTTGCATTTCCTTTCTTGTTCCTTTCCTCCCTCCTAGCATCTGAACACCGCGATTATTTGATCCCTCCATTGTTAGTTCCTTGTGTGCCTCGTGAATTATCGATTTTTTCTCTCTGTCGCTACACTTGTTCATTTTTGTAAGTTCTTGTTTCGATTGTCCTGCGATGGCGACTTCAAACGCCAATTGCGGGTACCAAAAAATGCGCTGAAGTCGCTTCGATGTTCGATTTCACAGTTTACGGAAATACACGATTTGAAGCACGAGGAATCCGAATCAAACAAAATGTCGATGAAGGCCGGCGGTCTGTACTCTCATTTCCGGCTAAACGGCTGAACCGATTGGAGCCAAATTTGCTACACATGCTCTGAAGACATAAATGGGCGAGCTGAAAAGCTTTTTGGCAGAATGCGAATGTGCAGGTGG